TATTGACAAAAGTCAAAGTTCTTGTGTTTAATCCCTTCATTGGTCAGTGGAAGAAAGAAGCAGCACCCCAACAAATATGCTAAAAAATATTTTTTCAAGGAGACGTTCTTACTGCCTTTGAACAAGAAATGTCACTGGCAAAACTGTAGTTTGGGATAAGTGGAATATATTCTATGTAAGTTCTCAGCCTTGACGTAAGTTGTCAAGTGTATGAAAGTACCAGTGGTTCAGTTACCAAGAACAAGATTAGACTTCTTGAAGTGCTCTTTCTTCTTGGGATAAGACATTTTGATTGTATTGGATAAAACAAATAGTCCTTTTTTAAGTTTATAAGTAATACAGCAGCTGAAATTGCACTAGAAGGTCAAGTGTTCCTCTAACCGTTGATTGTCGCTGAGAGAAGTGACAATGTTATATCTATTCCATTCTCAAAATAGCTGAATTTGATCTTCTGAAAGTAAGGGCCATGTAGAGGTGTTTTTTCTCTTAGTGGAGTAACATAATCTTGGGAAGAAAACTGAGGTGAAATGCAACATGCATATACTTCTTGTATAGAAGTGGGGTGGGAAGCAAATGGGAAGTAGTAAAAATTTCAGCAAATATTCTCTAGAATTACTAGGTTATCTGTAATCAAGACTGAAGTCCTACTAAAGCTTTTATTGCATTGTTTTTAGAATTAATTGGCAACTTCTGCCTGAGTTAACTGGATGAAAAAAGGCAAAAAAAGTGAAGAGTCATCAAGACTATAAAAATACTGGCCATTTGTTAAAATAGGATTTAAACATGTTAGGCAGATCTCCAAATGTCTGTAGCACAGATTGTTTTTAATCAAAATACTTATCCTTCTAGTTGCAGCTAAGAAGCCATTTTGATTTTAGCTTCCACACTGTTTCCTAAGAATTTAGGTGTACTTTGGAAATAGGAGAGTTTTCTTAGGTAAACAGAAATAAGCAATGAATGGAAGGATAGTTGATAGCATTTTATTAGGGATATATTGGTATGAATAACCTTTGAGAACCAAGTGGGTTAATCAGGACTTACTTGCGCTATGTGACATTTCACAGATTGAAGTTAAATGTGTGCAAATACCTCATCAGCTTCTCTTGAGGGGATCTGAATGTAAACCTCAGAATGAACTTTCCATTCAGTAATTCGCTTCCTTCTTTTTTGCTCATTTTCTCTGGCCTAATTCTCAGAAACAACTGTAGTGAATACCTTAACTTTGGAGTCACTGGAAGTACTTATCTGCTTGCAGCTGAGCATACACTTACATCTTTTCAGCAATATTTAGCAAGAACTCATGCCTCCTATGGAATCTCACTTCCTACTAATACTGTCTAAAGAATTGTTTTTTTAAGACGGTAGTCTGAAATGATGATACGTGGTGACAAATTGAACCCTAAGCTTTTGGGAGCCTGTGCAGTCAGCATAATGTAATTGTTCTTGTAGAAATGCCAGGCTATATACATGGAGACAGGTGGAGCAGATGGCAGTCCCATTTGAGTGCTCCCCTTCCCAGCATAGTGAAAGCACTCTTTTTCAGTGCTAGACTGTACAAAAAGGACAGTTGTGTTTCCTGTGCCATCAGTTGGAACGTGCTGTAGGCTATGATACATTTGTTTTTTTCCTTCTCAGCCACTCCTTCTACTGTATCTAGTTTTAATAACTTCATCATAATGTATTATTTTCTTTCTAGTCTCTTTCTGCCTTTTATTTAATAGAATTTGAAATTATTCACTGCTAAATAGCTGTCCAGGGCTCTGGGGCCTCAAGCACAGTTTTACTCTCTGTGTTAGAGGTGACCAGCTTCTTCAGTTTGTACTAGGGTTTAACTTCTGGGTGAATATTGTATGCACTTATGGTGGGTGGAGAGAGTATGAGCACATACATTTGTGTAATAGCTTGTATAACTTCGAAGTGCACAAAGCAGATGGCTGCAAAAAAACCACCACAGATAATCTTAGACTAAGACCATCTTGAATTGCTGCATCCCAGTGATGATCAAACTCACAAAAATGTTTTCCATCCCTCCCAAATGTCTTATCAGTGAAAACTTCCGAAGGATTTAAATCAGCCAGATCTTTTATTGGAAGCTTCTTTGTAGTAGGTATCAAAAATAACACATCTCTTAAGTTTGTTTTGGGTGCTTTTATTGTACTGTGTGTCTTTTCTGGAATCTATATCCCCTCCTTGAAGAATATAGAACACTGTGTGGTACATTAGCTTTGTTAGCACACTGGATTCAGCTGTGGGTAATTCAAGCATGTTGTTTGTCCCGAGGTAATCAGTGGATTTGCTAATACTTAATTTTATTTGAACTCAGTTTTATTTGAACTCCCTACTTGTAGGAACAGAGAAGACTGTCACCTCTTTAGAAGGCTGACACCTTTAGAAAGAGGTGTAAAATCCATTGGCATTAAACTCAATTTAGTGCTTATGGTAAAAAATCTGAATTGCTGATTCTGAATCATAGTGCAGATGTCCAGTCTTGTCTTTGGATGTCTGCATGTCTAGTTGCTTCCTACACTTCCTTCTCTTCCTTTAGTCCAGTGTATGCTGATAATATAGGCGAGGGGAGTTACATGGAGAGCGAGGATGGGTTTACAGATTCCATCACTGTAAAAAATGGTTACCAGGCACATGGGACCAAGAAATTGCAATGCACCTTGGTGTATGCTGCCTGAGCTTGATAAATATGCTCACAATTCATTCATTAAGTGTGCACGCATACACACGTGTGTCCACACAAATGCACACGCTCAAAATAAAATAAATTTGAGCATGTAAAATTTCAAGTAATTGCATTTTGAATTCCAAGTAATTACAATCTGTTAAAAATATTCACAAGACTATTTAATTCTCAATCTTTTTGGCCTTGATTTAATCCTATGTCGAGCCGAAAAATGATGCATACTTGATAGTATCTTTTTCCTTCATAGCCCTTATTGCCCACTGTACTGGACAGGAAGATTGTAATTTGAAAAATGAAATTTTAAATATAGAGACTTAGCTTTTTTTTTTTTTTTTAACCAGTGCTGCAGGAGCTATTTTCAGACCAGTCTCTCTGGTATTAAAAAGTAAGTGTTGATTCCTTCTGTGTGAAAGCTGGCCTACGTGGGTCTGAAAACTTATGCTGAGGAGTGATGTGGTGTTTAAATCCTGACACTGTTTAGAAAAACAGACGTTCTGCCAGCACTCCTGCAGTTGAGAAGGCCTCTTTCATGTTTCAGCTGCTTCAGACACTGAATGCAAATTCCTTCTTACGGAATCAAGTGCCATTGCTATTTGCTACCATGGCAAGTTTCTATAGAGAAATCCCTGGTGCCATCAGTAAGCTTGATTCATGGAAATGATATTGTATTAATGGGAAAAAAAAATTCAAGCAGTGTACTGTACTATTATTGCTGCTAAATGCTCTTCTAAATTGCATGTTATTAAAGGAGTTTCAACATGACACTCTGCTCCTTTTAATGGCTCCCTATGTGCAGACAAGCACTGTGATGTGGACCAGTTATCCAGTGAGTGGTTGGGTGACTGAGCTTGCACTTTTATTGCTCTGCCATTGGATTTGTCCACGGATGATGTTCTGGCTATCTGCATGTAGTTTATTTATATCCATTTTCTCAAGCTATTTTTCCCTCCCCAGCTGTGCCAGAAAGCAAACTGAGGTCTGGCTTTGCACACACATGTGGGTTATGTATAGCATGCTTGCAGCTGAGCTGCTGGAATCTGTTAATTAAGAGAAGTGTGTGCTCAAGCTGCTTAGAAATTGCAGCTGCTTTTTGATGAGGGGACTGCTGGCCAGTCTCAGTCTCGAATGTTAGTCTTGGTTCTTCCACCCCATGACCAGTGCAGTGTGTGAAGGTATGCTGCAGGCCATGCTAACATACATGGTGTCCTAAAAGTTGAAGCAGAATTCAGATTTCATAGAATCATAGAATATCTAGAGTTGGAAAGGACTCATAAGGAGCACTGAGTCCAACTCCTGGCTCCACACAGGATGACCCAAAAATTAGACCAAATGTTTGGGAGTGTTGTCTGAATGCTTCTTGAACTCTTGTAAGCTCAATAGTGAGATGACTGCCCTGGAGACCCTCTTCCAGTGCCCTGCAACCTTTCTATTTGTGTTTTATTTCTATTTCCTTTACCAATGTAGAGGAAAATCAATGAAAAATAGAGATTTCGAGGGAGTGGGGAAAAGGGAGTGGGACCAAAGAAAACCAGCAAAACCAATCAAACAGATTGATTTGCTTTTTTTGAAGAGGGATTTGCACTTTCTGAAAATGCATAATCTCATAGACTAGGTTTTGTTTCAGGCCTTTCAAAATGATGGGGAAAAATAAGGTCGTTTAACTTCAATGCTGAATTTGCAGTAGCCAATGACTACTTCATCTATTTGATTCTTGCTTCTTTTATGTTCTGTATGGCCAATATAGCTGGTCAATATAGTACCTGTTTTCCATTTCCAGTAGCTATGATTGTTATGAATGACTTTTCATCTTGTAACATCCAGAAAACACTGAGTATTTTAGCATTATGGAAGAAGACATCATTGCCCTTTTAAGTTCACTCAAGATAACTTCATGTTAAATTATTCCACAATCTTAGAGTTAGTTCTGTCCAAAAAACCAATTTATCCACAGGAGGGTACATTGCTCTCTTTTTATATATCTCTCAGGCCCAATACACTTCTGGTAAAGAGGAATTTAATGGGGAGTATAATAAGCAGAAACTACTGTGGATGGGACTGACTGCCCTGAGAACTCATTTAGTGTGATGAAACAGTCCTCTTAACTGCCATGCTGAAGACAGTTGGCAAAGCAATTACTCTTCTAGGTCAAGACCCTGGCTTCATAAAACCTTCTTGTGGAAAAGCCGAAACATGAAATTATTTATCTGTTGCAGTGGGATTCCAAAACTGGGGATGGAGAAGAGTTATAGTACCTAACTTGCTGTTTCTGATTTTGCATAGGGGGATTTTAACTGGCTATTTTGAGAGTCTTCTCCACTTTTTTGTTGATGGACTTATATTCTAAGTCATTCTGACTACTGATACTGAAGTCACTCACTGGGCCTGGAAACTTGTGCAAATTTGAGAGATTCCATAGCCAAAAAACCAATGGGGATCATCACTCTATGAAGGTACTGCTTGAACTAACATCTGTCTCTCTCCTCTCTTCCCACCCCAACCTTCTCTGAGACCCCTGAGCAGTAGAACTGAGGGTCAAAGACAAGAAAGTCAGACAGCTTTTACTATGCCACTGTAAATGGGATCGAAGATAGCATACACGGATGTGTGTGAGCTGTTTTAAAGAAACAGCAATTTGAGTTTGCAGATTAGAAAGAAATGATCTTGAAGTTTCTTTAAATTTCTTCCTCTCTGTAGTTTTTCTCATGTTTCAGACTATGGACAATTTGATAGTGATGTCACTTTAAAATGAAAGCATGTTATGAAAGAGGTCATGAAGCCTTGATAGACTGTATTCTTTGATTAAGTTCTGCAGTGCTGTGGACTGTCCAAGATGGAAAGTTTAGCTACCTTTGCATTTACCAGAATCTCTT